AAAAGTGTTTCAGCCATGAAGTATTTCCATTATCCTTTCCACTGGCCTCTGAGTAACTTTAAAAAAGTCCTTAGAATGAAAAGACAGGTGGAAATTTATTTAACATACTCTGACTCATATTTCAAAGGCTTCAAAGCTCCCCAGATGAAGAGATTCAGTTTGTTAGTCTGAGACCACTTGCATGAATCTAATTCCACACACAGGACCGCTCCAGAGAAAAAGGAACTAAAATGAGGTGTCATAAGCATTAATTCCCTGAGCTCATATCCATGTGCATTAATGTCAGTGGTTATTTTTTATTATTTTTCCCCTGTAGGATGACAGGTACTGAGATTTATGACCTCAGATAAAGGCAAGGAATTAAGTAAAAGTATTTCACAAAATTATAGGAAATGCTAGCTTCATTGGTAGATTGCATCCATTCTGAAGGGCAGCTGCTTATCTAGGTATTTTCTAACTCCCTCACAGTCACTAGTTTTTTGTTTTTCCCCCTAAAGAATAACTGCCCATTGTTACCTACTCTCTAAGGACTGGTATCTGAGGCTGTATTAAGGCTTGGACTTGTGCCTTGTTTGAAGAATTGCTTCTAGCTGTGGAATCCCACCCAGATATTTTCAATAGCCCTTTTGTATTTAAAGAGGAATGAAAATACTTTGGTAAATAAATATGGCTCTATTTGAAGTTAGTAGCAATAATGAAACCATAAAAGCACCTTCAAACAAACTGTCGATTGTAAAATCTCAAACCTATAAAAGTCCTAGAACAAATACTATAGCTTTAAAACAATCTTAATGCTTCTCTGCAAAAGGCCACATCCCAAGGGGGTCTTTGACTTCCATCTCATAATGCAACAGATACCAGTTAGATTATTTCTGCTGTTAAAACACCAACTTTGCACAGTACACTCAATCTAGGGTGTGCTGCTATGGCTGAATTCTGAAAAATCAGTGATAAAACAATCAGCATTTATTGCAGAATGTTTACAGAGAGGATACTACTAAAACTTGTTAGAATTGCACACTTAACTATTTTTCCTCTTTGAACTGCTCAGTTTAAGAAGTTATACTTAGCCAGGAGCTGGTGGCTTATACCTGTAATCCTGGCTGCTTGGGAGGATGGGATCTGAGGTGGTTCAAAGCCAGCCCAGGCAGTAAAGTTCTTGATACTCTCATCTCCAATAACCATCTCTGTGCCCCCCCTGCACCAGAAAACTGGAAGTGGCACTTGGCTCAAGTGATAGAGGGCTAGCCTTGAGCTAAAGAGCTGAAGGACAGGGACAGCACCCAGGTCGAGTTCAAGCCCCATGACCAAATATATATGTGTGTGTGTGTGTGTGTGTGTATGTATGTATATATATGAATATGTATATGTATATATATTTATCCCCTCCACCCAATTAGAAGCAACTGTCTGGCTCTGGTGTATGTGTGGGGTCAGGGGTGGGGTAGTGAGTTGAGCCTCTAAGAAACTGCCTCTTCTTCCCTCTCCACGCTCTGTGCAAACTCAACTTGGGAAGTAATTACTTCAGGGTTCCTAACATGTTAGCCACACCCACCACGGGAGATTCCTCCTACCACCGCAACTGCCACCTGGCCTCATCTTTGCTTTGAAAGCTCCTTGCTGTAGACACCTGACACCTGTATCAGCTTTCATTCTCCTGTCCCTCCACACCTGGTCCAGTTAAATTCCTGCCTCTTCAAGTCAGGATTTGCAACTTGTGATTCAGACAATATTATGGGCATTTGGTGTCCAAATTACTATTATGCTATTATTAAAAATATTTTTGACCATGTATTGATATAACATTAAATCATTAATTACCATTTCCATTTCAAATAAGTTTACTGAACAGAATCTGATAAACTGAAGAGTATTTCTGCAGAGGTGCATTATGCAAAACCACTGCCCTAACCATGAAATTAGAAAAGTTAAAGACTTTTCCTTTGAGAGAGTACTTATGCTTGCTGCGTTAGGTTAAGTACAAAAGGGCTACAAATGAAAGTACTGGCTTTTCTCTTTTTGGATGAGGTAGGTCACTATGTTGCCCAGACTCCCCAAGAATTTCTGCACTCAAGTGAATGTCCTGATTTAGCCTTCCTAAGTAGTTGGAACTACAGGTGCACACTACCAGACTAGATAGAACTCACAATTCTCTTTTATTCCTGTGTTTCACTTACAAACTAGACAACTTTTTAAGTCAAATAAAATCTGAAGCAGACCATCTATACTTGGGAACCTTTACACGACAAGTTATTATCTTTCTGCAGACACTTGTAATTTTGAATTAAAAAATCTATGAAACACAATATATTATCTTAGCTTCAATAGTCAAAACATTGTAACAATCTTAGTGACTCATTTATAATAAGCAAGAATATAAGGACAGATGGGGACTGAGGCTTGAAAATCAGATATCAGTAATCTCCCTTGTTGAGGACTTGGTGGGCCCATCAGCAACTTTATTGAAGATTCCTTTACTTTAAATTCTATTGTTTTCTAAAATCTACAGTTATATGGTAATGAGGAACATCAGATGACTAATCTTTACTTTCCCTTTTAGTGCTGGTTTTCTCTTTCTTTTCTTTTTGGGGGGGGGGTCCGGTTATGGGGCCTGAACTCTGGGCTGGGCGCTGTCCCTCAGCTCTTCAGCTCAAGGCTAGCGCTCTACCTCTTGAACCACAGCACCACTTCCGGCTTTTTTCTTTTTGCTTATGTGGTGCTGAGGAATCGAACCCAGGGCCTCATGCATGCAAGACAAGTGCTCTACCACTGAGCTACCTTCCCAGCCCCATTAGTACTGGTTTTCTTGTGAGCCTTTCTTCATCAGTAAATGCTTCTCAAAAGTTTGTTGCCCTCATGAACTACTATACAGTCAGAACTACTGTATAGGTCTTTCTTTGCCCCACCCCATCTTATCCCTTGTTTAGCCAGGGGAAAGCACATTTTCTACTACAACAACTAGCTATGTCACCTTCATTTTTTTTGAACACTCAGAAGCTTAGTTTGAATTTTCAGTTTTCTCTCTGATCATCTAAGAAAGTTTGCAAGCATTTACCTTGTGGCTCAGAAAGAAAGTCTGATGTGACATGATACATAGTATCATAGTCACAAGTACTAGTTACAACAATTACTAGGAAAACTCTTTTGATCTTATTTATTCCATTTTCTATTAATAATTGAGAGGCATGCTTCCTTCAGAGAAACCATATTATTATTTTTGCCAGCCCTGGGTCCTGAACTCAGGGCCTGGGCACTGTCCCTGAGCTTCTTTTTGCTCAAGGCTAGTGCTCTACCACCTGAGCCACAGCACCACTTCTGGCTTTTTCTGTGCAGGTGGTACTAAGGAATTGAACCTAGGGCTTCATGCATGTTAGGCGAGCACTCTACCACTGAACCATATTCCTAGCTAGAAACCAAATTATAAAAATGTAGTTTTATTTTATAAGTACAAAAAATGGCAGGTGCCGGTGGCTCACACCTGTAATCCTAGCTACTCAGGAGGCTGAGATCTGAGGATCACAGTTCAAAGCCAGCCTGGGCAGGAAAGTCTGTGAGACTCTGATCTCCAATAAACCACTACAAAACTGGAAGTGGTGCTGTAGCTAAAGCAGTAGAGCGCTTGCCTTGAGCTGAAGAGCTGAGGGACAGTGCCCAAGCCCAGAGTTCAAGCCCGGACAACCGACAAAAAAACCCAAAAAACAAAAACTGTTTTTCATAAGCATTTTAATCTTTTAAAAACGTAAAGGAAAAGCATCCCTTGACCTAGCAGAGTTATCACTATTAAGAAGAATTTGAAACAGCAAATGATTAACATTCAAGAAAACTGAGGATTATTAATTTTTAAAAGTAGGAGCTGAATTAAAAAGTGTACTTGGGTACAGAGGAAGAAATACTGTGAAAATATTTTGGCTAAAGGCAGTTAACTGCAGTTGAAAACACAACTTCCTCAGAAAGAAACTTGAAAGCCAAATAACAAAAAAGCAAGATCATCCTGCTTTTGGCAAAAATCTTGTCTGACATAGGAATCTTGGTGTGATATCCAAGTTATGGTCCACCAGTACACCCATCTCTGTTCTTTCCACGACGTCTATTTCAATAACTGGCAACTCTACCCTTCCAGTTGCTGTGGGTGACTAAGCAGTCTTTTTGCTTTGCTTTTGGTGCTGGGAATTGAACCCAAGGCCTTGCACTCTACCACTTTCCTTTGCTTTACTCACTTCTCTCTTCCCGATTAGAATACAAATTCCATGAAGGCAAGGATGTTTTTGTACTGCTGCATTACCCAGTGCTTAGAATGGTTTGGTGCACACCAGGAATTTGTACAAGCTACAAGAACTCAGTAGGTAACATTTGAGGATGAGGCACTTATATGAATAATTCTGAAAGTACAGGTGTGGTGTGAGATTGTATAAAGGAAGTATGTTATGACCTGACTTATTGCAAGGTTAATACTTGGAGCTTAAAGAGAAAGGAATGTATTCTATGTTGCCAAATATGACGATTTGAAGAGACAATGTTAGAACTGCTTATCTTATAAAGGAATAACGGAGGACAGTTTTTCACTGATATTCTCAGTATGTGTCAGATCCTGCATCACTCAAGGTTCTTGAGATATCTTGAGGAAAAAAAGTGGAGTACTCAAATGCTAGATTTAATTATACATCTGTATCAGAATGAGTTATTCCTACCCTGCTTTACATAAACCAGGGGACTTTTTTTTTTTGAGTGAAGTAAGCAATTGCAGCTTGAAGAGGGTAACTTGGTAAAGGATTCCTATGTCTCAATGTTTGTCCTTCATGTTGTTATGTTTTATGACTAATATTGTAGATGAGAGGGAATTGAATTCCCTATACAAATTAAGGAACTTGTATATATGAAGATGGCTTTGATAAGAGTTAAGCCATAAAAATTACCTTTCTTGATGGTGCTTTTGGAGACACTACTTAAATAGCCTTGTATGCAATTTGTAAAGAACCAACTCTTTAAAAAAGGTCCTATAATATTTAGCTCCTAACAACTTCTTTTTTTAATGAGATGATTTCCAAAGCTAGATAGATGAAAGTGTGACATTAAGTACAAACTTCTTGTGTAATTTAAATGCATATTTTAAAGTGTAGTTTTTACTTCTGGTTTCCCATTCTCAGTTATGCAAAAAGGAACTCACAGAGGCAGACTCAAATATCTATTTTGAAAAGTATTTACTTAGTTTGAATAAATTAATTGCAAATAAAAATTAAGCTACAATATATAGCCTGAATAGAAATGACTAGAACAAACACAACACAGGACTTAATTTCCTTGCATTAGTCACAAATCATGTGACAATCTAAAAAACTTCAAAATCAATTATATTTCTTTGAAAAGGGGTAACAGCAGTTACTGATACATCACAACTAATAAACTTATAATACAAGTTTCCTGACATGCATTTCCTGAGTGAACCCAAATGATCATTTTTTTCAAACAAGGAATTTTGACACAGTAAAATAAAATAGTTCATGGCTTCTAAGCAACAATTTTTTTTTAAAGAAAGAAAAAAAAGTGATGTAATAGAATAAAGTTATGCTACCATACAAAATTTTGCTATAGTCAATCAAGTATGATACAGTTTTTCAAACTAAAGGAAATCAAAAGACTAAAACTAAAAATGATTTGTCTAATCTAAAAGTGTACTGATTTCTACAAGTATCGAAAGGGTTTGATGTAGTGCAACTGTCTCTTCTTGTGGAGCATTTTAAAAAAGGTTGGAGAGGAACAGAAACATTTTCTTGCTTCTGAAAGCAAAGGATATCCTGGGGTTCAAGAATAAACAGACCTTGCAAGTTTGTTCCTTCCCTTTGCTGTCACTGATGCTCATCTGACAACCAAGCACTACGCACTCATTTAAATCATACCACAGAAACTTTCCTTAGGATTCAATTCCACAGTTAAGGCTGGTCTGCTTTAATGGGGGGAGGGATGGCTCTATTGTCATCCAACCCTTTATGTCTCTATATTTTCTAATGCCTGGATAAAGCCAAATATAGAATTAACTAAGCATTTCTGTTTCTAAAAACAAATATTCACTATCTTTTCTTATTTGATGCTTTTTTACCATAGAAATGTTTTTTTTTTTCTAGAAACAGTGAACAGATGAGAACCATAGTTTATATCCAAAAAATAAACTTGCCAAATGTTGCTGATACTAAAAACAGATTAGTCATCATGGGAGAAAAATAGATAATCTAGATTAGATTGCATATTCAAAGGAGTATATAAAATGTTTTTAGCATTAAGTTTTTGTTATAGTACTACACTTGAGAGAAACATTAAGGAAAAAAATCTTCCTGATTAACTTCATTGTGGTTAAAAACAAATACCTCTTAGACAATGGTAATTAATATGAATTCGGTATTACAAAGTATTTTAATTCACCAAATTCCATATTTAACAGGGTGAGGAGAGAGGTTCTCTTGTCCTTAGCTTTGCAAATCCTTGAGCTATGTGCTCACTACACTACCATTCACACTGAGAGTGTGACACCATCATTACCATGCTACTCTACCAAGAACATTCTAATATACTTTCTATCATAAAGATAAATAGAAAAAAGTTAATATACATGTTGCTATATTTTACAATGTTTGCAACAAACTGTAAACTAACATAGTTTGAACCAACAGTACCCTCAGTTATACAAAACAATTTCTCAACACTGAGGATGGGTGATTCAAAACACTAAAATGAAGGCATCAAATTAGACTATGTCTTTTTTCCTCAAAATATATTTTCAAAACTCAGAATTCAGAAGTCTGGTACTTTCAAAAATCCCTTTGCTTGAGTTTCCCAGATTTTTGCTCAGAAATTGCTACTATTTATTATAAATGTTTAAAAAAATTCTTCATCTTAATGCAAATGACCAGAGCAGAGGAACTGAAGTGGACAACAGGTTGAAAAACCCAACTCACTTAGCTTATAAATTTATAATGTAGTCCTGGAGGACAACTGTTAGTCTAGAGGTCCTTGGAAAATAAGTCTGATGTAGCCTTGTTCACCAGCCAACTGATGTGCACAAAAGGGACAGGCTGCATGAAAAGTGTGAGTACCATGAGGAAGTGGGATCTGGGACCAATAGGCCGTTGTCTTTTCTGAACACACATGCCCACAGGGGCTAAACGCATGGGTTGGAGGGCCGGCGTCCACATAAAATCCAGCTTCACATCCAAGCCACAGAGGGACATAGGGACCAACAGACCTACACATAGGACATTCACGATCTTTTCCATCACGTTCTTCTTTGTTTCCCCAGTTATGATAGCCATGTACATGGCCGCAGTTTAGATAGACCCATGGTTGTTTTTCATCTACAACATCTTTCCTCTTCATACTAGGAAAGGCTAGTGTGTTGAACCCTACAGGGCACTGAGGTCTTGCTGCATTGATTTCCTGTCTTAAAGCTTCTAAATGCTTCACAGTTGGGGTGTGGGAAAGGCCTTCTGCAGTACGCCACAGCAATGTTGCACCACAGAGATCAATAAGTGAGCCATCTTGTAACTGATTGGTTTCCATTTCCACCTGGAAGAGATGAGAATCAAAAGACACATTGGTTTGGAGTTTACATGGGTTTTGGGGATTTCTCATAAACATCTCCTAGATTTCCTAGGATTACTAAGAAGTCAAGAAACTAAAAGCCATCAGGAAAAGTTTGAAAATCAAAGATAAAATACTCAACACCTAAAAACAACTTGTGACTTAAACACTAACCAAATTATAAACTAGTTTTTAATTTTAAACAAAAACAAACAGAAACGTAAAAATGTGGTTAAATCTAGAAAAGCTTAAGCTTTTAAGTATATGAACATAATGTGACAAAAATGTTTATTACAGACTTTTCCTAATTGAAATATTAAGAGCTCAGAGTAGTGGCTTATGTTTGTAATTCTAACTATTAAGGAGGTGAAGATCAGGATGATCACTGTGGCCAGCCCAAGCAAAAGTATAGATGTGAGAGATAGACAGGAAGATCCTAAGTTTGAGGGCTGCTTGGGCTACAAAGCTATATCTAGTTTCAGAAAAACAAAAATAATACAAAGAAAGAGGCAACAATGCTTGACAAGAAATGTACTCATGGCCGTGCACCAGTGGCTCACGCCTGTAATCCTAGCTATACTCAGGAGGCTGAGATCTGAGGATCGAAGTTCAAAGCCAGCCCGGGCAGGAAAGTCTGTGAGACTCTTATCTCCAATAAACCACTAGAGAACAGGAAGTAGCACTGTGGCTCAATCGGTAGAGCACTTGCCTTGAGATGAAGAGCACAGTGCCCAAGCCCAGAGTTCAAGCCCACTGACACCAACCGACAAAAAACAAAAACAAAAGCTATCATGGTCTTCTAGTATAGTATTTCTCAGTATCTGATAATCAAGCTCAGGCTTAGTTCCCTTTGTTGGTGATATATTTAAGAGGCTTTATTTTGTTGTTTGTTTTAAAAATATACATATAATGATATGCTGGGTGCCAGTGGTTCATACCTGCGAACCTACCTACAAGGAGGAAAGTCCAAGAGACCTTATCTCCAATTAACCATAGAAAGCACTGGGAAAGGAGCTACAGTGGTAAAGCACTAGTCTTGGGCAAAAATGTTCAGGGACAGTACCCAGACCCTGAGTTCAAGCCCTAGGAGCTCCTCCCCTAACCCCCCAAAGCATATATATAATAATAATGCATTTAGTCCAATTTATCTCACATGTTCACTATAGTTAGATAAAAAGCTACACTTCAATAGTTACCATTTTTCCTCTCTGCTGAGCTGACCGGGTTTCACGCAGGCTAAATACATTTCCACACACTGATATTTCTCTCCATATTCCAGGCTTGGAGTCTTCGGTGAACCCATTGCGTGGATGCATCACAAGAACACCATTAGTGGTCAAGCCATCCATCTGCCCATCAGATGTCTTCCACTTGGCAGCTTTCTCCTATCAATAGAATAATGTACTGCCATTTAGGTGTAACTTGGAAACAGAAGCTGATAAAAGAATACATTGTTTAGGAAGAAAGTTTTTTACCCCAAGAAAGATATTTTTTGATGAATCAAATCCTGCAGCATAAATCCGTGCTGTATAGGGAGGATTCCGTTCACATATGATTCTACAGGCAAATCTTGATATAGTGCTCTGAACTGACTGTGTATCAGAATTACTTTGACTTCCAGGAACTGTGTCGGTTACTACGAAATCAATAGGGCTTTCAGTCGACCGACCAATCTAAAGAAAAAAGAAATATATATATATATATAAACCTATTCAAACAACACAGTGCTAAAATCCAATCAAGAAAGGCATAATGAGATAAGAACATTAAGCCTCTGAAATTTCTAAAGTTCATATGTATCATACTTAACTTTAGGGACATCTATACCCTTGAAAACTAATCTATCAGAGTTTCTGATGTACTAGTCATTTTGTGCATAGAATGAACTGGGAAATTCTGACAGAATTCATGAAACCCTTAGGGAATAAAAAATTCAGGGTAGTTGAGATTTCTAGATGGCTATAAACTAACCCTTTCAGGTGTAAATATAACTACCATTTATAATTCTACCTGGATTGTTCCACAAAAAGTATTTACAATGAGTAAATGTTATACTCAATGCCATTTATATAAAGCTGAATGAAATGCAATGATGTCTTTAATTGCAGTGAAAGATATACACAAATACTGGTCTTAAGGGGTTGCATTGAGGTCTAATGTGCACTTCACAGATTTCTCTATTTGAATCTAGTAACAAGCCTTTAATTCTGGTATGAGTTGAGAAATCAAATAATCAACTAACTTCAAAGAATAGTTTCAAAAGGTTCTAGGCCTAAGAATTCTTGAGGAAGCATAGAAAAGGCATTTTAATGGGTGGATTCTGTGGCATTTATTTTGTACACCTAGAGGTCTTCCTGAGACCATTTATAACTATTAAGAGACATAAACTAAAATGTTTGTACAGGCTCTTAAGGAATCATTTTTATGGGGTTGGATGATAGTGATGTGAAATGATCTGTACTTCTAAAGCCAATTAGAGAATTAGCATTAAAGAAACTCTTAACATGAATCATACTGTGCTATCTAATGACATTTGTGTAGGTTTTTCCCCTCTTTATAATACTTAGAACTTTCTTCTTTCTTCTAGCTCATATTTTTGTGAGACAGGTTTCAAGTAAGAGTTCTGGATGGGTGAGGTTATCAGAGAATTAACACTTTCAGGTGTACTAAACAGTAATTAAGTTACTTTCAGTTTAGGAATTGAAAAGAAAAAGGCAGACAGTGGAAGAAGTCACAGAGGTTAAAGTAAATGTAAGTATCAGTTTGTTAATGTATTTGTTACAAATTACTATCATAAAATTGAAGGATGTAGATACTGGGGGGGGAACCCCAGACTCTACAAAGATGATGCCTTTGCTTTTTCCTAGATAGGGAACCAATCAATGAGTACTGCCTTAGCCTACCAAATGGTATGATTAGGAGCTCATATTCTCCATGCCTTCCCAAAGATAATTCTTAAAAAGTAACTGCTTGCACTCAGGCACCAGATTACACAGGCCTTTGAAATTGAAATTATTAAAAAAAAAAAAAAGATGTTCTTAGAGATGGCTTTTTTTTTTTTAGAGCTAAATTTAGTTGCTTGTTGGTAAAATAAAATGTGGGAGAACATTCCAATTCTTTTAGTTAGGTTTTTGGTGAGATGCAACCTTTATCTTCATTATTATTTAGATTTAGTAAAAGCAAGAAGACAAACACACACTCATTGTAATATCAGCTGTGGAGACACTATTCAAAAAATTTGACATCTCATTTAAAAGGGCTGAGAAAAACAAGTCCAAAGAAGTACTTTTGCTATTAATTAAAATTAATTTAGAAAGGTCTTTCAACTTTACTTAATATTAAAACTAGAGAAAAATGGTAAATTAACTAGAACAATAATTGTAAGAGCAACATTATCAGGCAGCTTATGTTCTAGCTTATGTTTAAGTGACCTAATATTAAGGGAGAAGAACCACAAATTTTACTTAAACCTTGGGCCTAATTCTTTTATAATCTATTAGTTTATAAAAACATAAGCACTAGCCCTGTAAAAAAAAATGAGGAACTCTTTATTTCTTTTTGTCGGTCAAGGGGCTTGAACTCTGGGCTTGGGTGCTGTCCTTGCACTCTTCAGCTCAAGGCAAGTGCTCTACCACTTGAGCTCCCACTTCCGGTTTTTGAGTGGTTTATTGGAGATAAGAGTCTCACGGACTTTCCTGCCTGGGCTGGCTTTGAACCGCAATCCTCAGATCTCAACCTCCTGAGTAGTTAGGATTACAGGCGTGAGCCACGGGCACCCGCTGGCGCCCGGCAGGAGCTCTTTTTTGTACCAGTAGCTTTGAGTAAAGTATGTGCTGAAAAACATTTTTAGAATTTGTTTGTAGTTTTTGTAGTGTAGAGAAGGTGAGGTAATATTCTCCATGTCCCTCCCTCGCAAAAAAGTTGTACATGTACACAGAATACTTCTGGTTTCTTTTTCTGAATATTCATACTAACATTTCCTAAGAGTTTTTAATAGGTAGCTGGCACAAATCTGAGCATTTTTCACACACAAACTCATTTAATCTTCCTAACTGTCCTGATGGAGATTCTGTTATCCTTAAAGGACACTGAGGCATGCAGCAGCAGAGTCCATATCTTAATATGCCACAATGACTTTTATATATAAGGTTTAGAAAACAATAGTTTTGCAAAATTATGATATGGTATCCTTAATCTGAGCACAGCTAAAGTCACTGACAAGTTTTAATTGAAATGATTTTATAGTGCTTTATTTTGTTCTGTTTTTAAGAATGGTCTTATCTTTCAGAGATTCATAGTGAAAAGATGAATGACATGAGGACTAACAGGGTCAGGAGCAGTTGAGCACCTAGCAATGCAGACAGAACAAATAGAACAAGATCGACCATGTTGATAATTGAAGCCAGGTGAAGAGAAATATTTTGTACTATCCTAGATTCTCTTCCTTTGGTGGTTTTTGAAGTTTCCCATAATAAAAATGCATTTTTAAAGACAACTACATAGCTAAGTCTATTTAGCAAAACAGCTAAATATAAACACTTTACTAGAAAAATTTCAAATTTGCCACTTGCAAATTTGAAAGATTAAGAAAACATGATAACTTACAGGAAGTATGAGGATTATGTTGGTACAATATTGAAAACATTAACTTTTTTTCAAAATTCATATTATAATACCTGAAACATATCTGTGTTGCTGTCATGAGTGTATTCAACCACAACTGTCTGGGCCCGAGACAAAGTATATGATATACTATGTTGATCCTTGTTGCTTATTGCCTGTAAATAAAAAGGTTAATAGTAAAATTATGTAGTCAATGTTTAGTAGAAAATCTTTTCACAAAAGAAGGTAAAAATATCTGTCATATATAAGACACACTATAAGCATTAGAGGCTGGTGTCTTCTAGGGGCTGGGTATACACAATACTTTGAAGAAGTTATAGAATAAGAACGTAATGTAAAAAAAATCAAAATGACATAAAAGTTTGTGTCACCTTTTAAGTATTTTTTATCAAGTGATCAAAATCAAATGCCATGAAGAAAGAAAATCAATACTCAGTACCCCCTCTGATACAGAAATACAAAAATCTTATTTATAAATAGGAATCTTATTTTTCAAGTCACCTAAATAATTATAAAGTGGTAGCAATACTCAGAAATAGTTGTTTCTCTAACCATTATGTGATATAGATGACAAAGCTGCCACATACTGGGCTACATACAGAAAACTTCATAGAAATGGATATAATGCTTATATTTGTACCTTTGACCTATTCCAAACTAAAAACATTTCTAAAAAGAAATTTTCAGTTTTGTTTTCAAGCATTTTCTATGTAAATGAGTTGAAGATAATATCAGAGGGGAAAAAACCTAGTCATGTACAAAGGAAGTGGAAACAGATTGTGTAAAAGGAAAATAGACACAAAGAGTGATTACACAAAGCAAAGAAGCTAAAGAAAAAAAAGTTTCAAATTAGAAGTTTGGCTTTATAAAAGTTTTTGTCTAGTTTTAGTTTTTAGCTAATTGGTGGAAGATAAAAGCTTTAAAGTAATAGCTTTCAGAATAAGAAAATTAATTTTCAAACCCAAAGATAATAAACAAATATTTGGGGTACTATACTAACTAGCTGGTTTTGTCAAAGCTTATCAATGCCCCTTTTGCTTCTCACTTGTTTCTTTTAAGGAAATCACGCTTTATAGACATACCTGTATCTGCCCATATGGCTCTCCCTATTTTCCTTTCTCTAGAGGTTTATGTATTAATATATTCAACAGCACTATATATATCATTATTACACAGATTTAAAAATTGATACTTGACACTTAACATTAATAAACAAATTTTCAAATTAATTGCTATTTTGAATTTTTTGTTTTTTGGTGGTGGAGGGCAGGGTCTTACCATATAGCCCAGGCTGGCCTCAAACTATTGATCTTTCTGCCTCAATTGTCCAGAGTGCCATCAACGAGGCCTGAAAGTTGACTCTTAATGGCAAGCCAATTTAATTTTTTAAAGAATTAAATGGACTTTGAGACTGAAATCTTTTCTTAGCTATTAAGCTCACTCTTAGATTGGGAATAAGAACTATGAAAAGATAAATTTGAGTTTCAGTGGATTAGAAGGCAAGATTTGAATCCTTTAATCCAGATGACTGGCAGAAATTTTTTTTACAGGATCTCACTGATATATTCATTTAAAAGTTAAAAAAATTACTTTTGTTCATCTCTGATTCCTAAGGTTCTTATTGCCCAATAAAGATGAAAAAAGGCGAGATAATGATTCCATAAAGGACTAAAAAGTATAAAAAATGGGAAGATGGATATAAAATAGAATTTTAGAGCTGGGTGCTGGTGGCTCACACCTGTAGGAAGCTGAGATCTAAGGATCATGGTTCAAAGCCAGCCCAGGCAGGAAAGTCCATGAGACTCTGATCTCCAATTAAATACCAAAAATAAACGCTGGAATGGAGCTATAGTAGAATGCTAACCTACAGTAAAAAAGTTTCAGGGACAATGCCCAGGCCCTGAGTTCAAGCCCCAGGACTAGCTCTACTAACTAAATACATAAAAGTTTAAAAAACAGAATATTTTACAAATAAGGTTAAATATTTTTCCCTGATAGTAGTTCAAAACCAGAGGTAGTATTTGCTACTTAAGGGCATTTGAAAATATGGGAATGTATTTTTGAGGGCTCAAAAGGTACTCAGTGGGTGGGAGAAAAATATTAAATATCTCATGTTATGGTGGAATGTCCTGCACAATGAACGACTGGAACACCCAAAATGCCAAGGGCACGCTTGTGAGGAAACATTTAAGAAGCTCCTCCAATTGAGATGAATAAGCTATTTACTTCTACTACCTTCTAAGCATATCCCTTATTGCAAAGGAGCAAGATGAAAAACCTTAAAAATTTCCCAAATAGTAACAAAGGAAGACTTGTCAAGGCTTGAGGCCTCTATTTTGCACCCCAAACTATATATATGAAACAAGGCTGAAAATCCTATTAATTTTGAAGACTGGACTATTATTTAAAACAGGGCAGCATATGTCAGCTTTACAGTCTCATTTATTAAATGTACAAAGACATACTCCAGATATTGCAATACTAATGGCACATCTCAGGGCTATATAGCTATACTTCAGAAGTCAAAGAACTCTAGTTTTTAAAATTTGCTCATCTATAGTATCAAATTTGGCAGATCATATAATTTAGTGGACAGATAAAGATCTGAAATTCCCTCTTCTTGGTTATCATTTTAGGAAAGTACAAGTATCCTGAAATGATGGGCAAATTTCTGGAAATTTTGGCAAAGAAAGGCAAAGAGACTAGAAGTGTGTGTGTGTGGGGGGGGTGGTATTTGGAGGGGATGGGGCTATACTGTGGATATGGCTATTTGCTTCCATTGCTTTGATTCAATGTAATGATGACGCCTACTTCATACAAGTGCAGTGAGTGGTAGAAATTCTCAAAGTTACAAAACACAAAAAAATAAATAAAAACAAGAGCATCCACAGAAACATCAATTAAAAACCTTCAGTGAAGAAATGACTTCATCTGAACGGCTTCTAAAACCTAAATGTTACATATTATAAGCCACATTCCACCATGTCAAGGGGAGGCCCTTATGGTAAAGTAGGGTGGATGGCTGTAACAAAGTAAGCCTTGGCCCTACCTCTACCTCTCTTAACAGGGAATGGGAATGGTTCCTTCTAATTTCTATCCACTGACTCTAATTTGTCATTTTTAAGTTCAGTTCCCTTTCCACACTACAGCCTGAAATATACTGTTTCCAAAGTTTCTACTCCAATCCAAACAAAACGAACGTTCTCAAATAGAAATGTGAGGGAAATGCTAGCAAATATAAACACATAAAAATCTTTCAGTTTCTGTTACTTATTTAGTTTTAAAATTTTTTATTTTTATTTTTTACCTTTGCGGCCTGAGGAGTACATGCAATGTGCACAGTGCTGGGCTTCACCCCATTTGCCTTAGGTCTTTTAAACAAAGCAAACCTACTTTTCCTTCTTCCTCTATCGCCATTTGGGAGAGACCCATTATACCTGATGGGAGAAGAAAAAAATGTTTAGGTGATTTCTTTTAAGAATCACACAAATATAAAATAAACGTTTTACTTTGTAGAATCAATTCTCAGTTAATTATCTATTAGCACATGTTAACCATTAGCAATTGATGACCTCTAGACCAATTGTTTTAGTGTGAAACAAAATGAGATTCTTCCTTATTATGATAGAAGTACCTTTTGTATTTCTTTTATTGAAGAACTGACTAAGGCCTATCTGACTCTTTTTTTTTTTTTTTTTAGGGTGAATGTTCTTGTGTGTGTTAATACGACCTCTAAATGTAGTGGATGTATTGTTTAAAGTAGAATCTCTAGCCAGGTACTCCAGCTCACACCTGTAAGAAGCTGAGATCTAGGATCATGGTTCTTCCAGCCATGGCAGGAAAGTCAATGAGATTTTTAATCTCCAATTAACTACCAAAAAAGAAAGAGAAAAAGGAATAAAAGAAAGTGGAGCTGTGGCTCAAGTGGTAGAATGCTAGCCTTAGACAAAACAAACCAACAAACAAACCCTCAGGGACAGTATCCAGGCTCTGATTTCAAGCCCTGAAACTGGTGCGTGTGTGCACACACATACACACACACTAGATTCTTCTTCTTTTTTTGGTCTGGTCGTGGGGCCTGAACTCTGGGCCTGGGCGCTGTCCCTCAGCTCTTCAGATCAAGGCTAGTGCTCTTCTACTTAAGCCACAGCGCCACTTCCGGCTTTTATCTTTTTGCTTATGTGGTGCTGAGGAATCGAACCCAGGGCCTCATGCGTGCAAGGCAAGTGCTCTACCACTGAACCACCTTCCCAGCCCCGAAAGTATGTTTTATGGTAATCTCTCCATGATCTCTCTCTCTCTCTCTCTCTAACAAGGACTGAAACAACACAGGAAAAGTTAAAAACAAACCCAGACAAGTACTATACACCAAGCACTGAGTTGTATTCAAATACAGCATTTCACTTAATCTTGCCTTGTAAAAACTGCCAAATTGGCATCACTGTCCACATTTTCTTTTTTTTGGTCAGTCCTGAGAATTCAGGGTCTGGGCACTGTCCCTGAGCTTCATTTGCTCAAGGCTAGCACTCTGCCACTTGAGTGATAGCACCACTTCCAGCTTTTTCTGTTTATGTGGTACTGAGGAATTGAACCCAAGGCTTCATGCATGCTAGGCAAGTACTTTTACCACTAAGCCACATTCCCAGCCCAACTGTTCACGTTTTTACAAGTTAGGAAAAAGGAATTCTTTTCAGAGGAATTATTTCGGAGTGTCACAAACATGACACTGGCAAAACTAGAAAATAATTTCAAGGGTTTTTTTGGGTCATTTTTTACTTTTGCACTGAGGCATAAAGAGTAATTTAATAATAACTACTCATTGCTCCCTGTCCCTGACAAAGTTTTTGATTCTCCTATGTAGTCGGTCCATCTGAGCAGGAATGAAGCAGGGATTAAGGATGGATTTGAGGTTGGAAGAAAAAACAATTGAAAATGGCCTGAAAATAGTTTACAAGAATGAATCATGTTTTAAAGATGAAAAGAGTTTACTCAATGATTGCCATGTATAGAAATTATACTAACCCAATATAAAACAAAACATTACAAGGTGAAAGCTCCTGCTAATCTTGTTGGTCTTGTTCCAAGGGCAAATAGAGCCCCCCTTCATTTATCCTTTAATTTTGCTATTCAGGACTATGTGTGGCCATCAGCCTTATGGTGAGCTCCTTACAGACCCTTGGCTACTGTCTTCTAAAAGTCCCTGACTCATTCTTTTTCTGGATCTGTGCTCTTAAGTTCCTAGTTTATGTTCCTAAATTCAATCCTCTTGTCTAAGCAATAGCAGGAAATAGATAACTATATCTAGTTTTACTCTTAGACTTACTGCATTTTAGGTCATTAAATATCAGATATATAGTTAATTACTACTGCTAATGATTAACTGGGAAATCTTTAGGCTAAATGAGACACTTTAAAACTATCAGATTCTTCAAAAATCCTTGAATTCCTTGAGGCTATACCTCCAGCCTGGCTTTTACAGGTTAGTTGGGAGAATCTTTAGGTTTTTCTGCCTGGTCTGGCTTCAAACTGATTTTTCCAGGTCTCAGCCTCTTAAGTAGCTAGGATTATAGGAGTGAGCCAACACTGCCTAGATCAAATCTTTGCTAAAAAAAATTAACTCATCAGCATAGTTGTTTTTTTCTTCTTCTGGTAGTTAAAAAAGCTGTTTGTCATTAATACTATTAATAGCGATATGACCTGAAGTTATAATATTGCAATTACTAAATACTTTGATTTTTTTTGGTGGTACCAGAGTTTGAACTCAGGACCTTGCACTTGAGTCATACTACTAAGCCTTTCTTTTGCTATGTTTGTTTTTAGTTGGGGTCTTGCATTATTGTCTGGGATCAGACTCTAACTTCCACACTCATATTTATCCCATTCTACTCTTATCTCCTGCCTAACTAGGATTAGAGCCCAGATTATATGGCCATCACACCCAGTCTTGTTAACTTTCTTCCAGGCCTGGTATCAAACTGTGATTTTCCAAATCTCTGCCTCCTAAGTAGCTTGGTTTACAATTGTACACCACCATGCCCATCCCAAGTTTATGATATTTAAGGGTGGTTTTTTTTTGGGGGGGTGTATGTGTATGTGTGTGTGTGTGAGAGAGAGAGAGTCCTGGGGCTTGAACTGCTGTCCCTAAAGGCTAGCACTAAACCGCTTGAGCCACAGCTCCACTCCTGGCTTTTTGGTGGTTAATGAGTCAAGAGTCTCACAAACTTTCCTACCCAGGCTGGCTTCCAAGGACAATCCTCAAAACTCAGCCCCTTTTATGTCTGCCTAGGAGACACCACCTTCCTCCCCCCAACCCAAATACAACGCTGAAGCCCCCAAACCTGTAACTATCTGTAACTGTTAACCACCTGTCAATCACCTGACTGGGCATCAGCAAAAGGGTCCCAGGCTCTGAGATCACTTCCACATCTGCTGAGGCCCCACCTTTCCCTATATAATCTCTCTCCACCATTAGTTAAGCTGCTACTTGCTACCTGCTACATTCCAGATGCTACTCTACAACCTGCTCTTGAGTCCAGCCTGGTAGTTTAGCTCTCCCAAATAAACTCTCTTCTGCCTGAACCATGTGGTAGCAACTCTTACACTGAGTAACTACAATTATAGGCATGAGCCACTGGCACCCAGCTATAAGTTTGCTTTTTGAGATTAAAAAAAAATGCGTTTTCAAAAGGTCTTAGAAAATGGAAGCAGAGAACTTTTTTTGTTAGGCTTGTGACAGATGGGGCAGAATGATGGAAGGGGTGACACTGGTCAAGATATACTATACTCATAAAATGACATGTTGAATTGAAACCCCTTTGGACAATTACTTAAAAATTAAAAAAAAGAAAAGAAAAAGAACGAAAAAAGGCCTTAGATGATCTTGTTTAATTGTCACTGTACAGTCTATATGGTGGACTTGCCCAAGACCATACAGTTAGCTATGCTGGAATAAGCACCAGAATCTAGGATTTTCTGCTTCCAGTTAAGCTCAGTAATTATTATTTCTCTCATCTTCTGAAACAACAGATTCTCACTTAAACAGTACCCATCTAATTCTCAAACTTACTGCAATCTCTACAGTTGTTTTTTTACATAATCAGAGAAACAACAGGTGGAAAGGATATTGTGCAATTTTAGCTTCTAGGATCTCCAGTTTAGACTGCTTCCATTTTGACAGTTACAACATGTTTGGACTGAATAAACTGAAGTACTAGAGTCATCTAGTCTTCAATCCACAGACTATTTTTCTAGGAATTAAATGAATGAGAATATTGTGCAAGCAAGTAGCTAAGTCCTAGGCTTCTCCATCATCCTACTGTTTTTATATACCTACATACCTTTTTTTGACTAGAAATAATAGAAATATCTTAAACACAAACCAACAACTACTTCAGAGGGACAAAACAACATATAAATAGCAAGTGACAAAAAATAACTCAGAGGAGGAAAAGGATGGGGGCTTTTGGGATAGTGGGCTGAATGGTAGAAGAAAGCTTTCTAAAAGATGGGATAAAGAAAACAAACTGTGCCCTTTATGCATTGTTTGTGCTGTAATTAAGCCCAAATAAAATAGCATAAATGTGAGAACTCAGTTCTTAATATGGTAACATTAGCCTGTAACTTTAGATTTGGGGGAGGAGGGAGTAGAAAAGACATAAATTCTAAAAGTAAGAAGATTTCTCTTAATGTCCCATGCGATATAAAAATCTTACCCTAGGACAATGAGTTCTCCATATTTTACTGGTGCTTTGGAAGGATGATTTTCTTGATCAGGAGAAAACATGAGCTTGGTTGTCTTTCTCAAATCTTTGGTCACTGGTCAAGAGCCTTGGGACACTTTTTGCATTATTTCCTGTAGGGGAAAAGTATTCATTAGTAATGTGAACAATGAATTTCAGTTTAAATATATTATTTTCCAGCAGTCCTCTGGAGCACAGTATTATGCAAATCATCACATGATATACAAAGTATGTGACATTTTCCCCATCAATGCTTATATATTTGACACAACTGGATCAAAATGTAAATTAGATACAGACCAACTGAGTAGATGTACTTTTCCCTATTATTTCTTTTTTGTTGTTGTTGTTGTTGGTCAGAGGCTTGAACTCTGGGCCTGAGCGCTGTCCCTGAGCTCTTCAGCTCAAGGTGAGTATTCTACCACTTGAGCCACAGCATCAGTTCTGGTTTCTGGTAGTTAATTAGAGATCAGAGTCTCATGGACTTTCCTGCCTGGGCTGGCTCTGAACTTTGATTCTCAGATCTCAGCCTCCTGAGTAGCTAGTTTTACAGGCATGAGCTATCAGTGTCTGGCTTTTTTCCTATTACTTCTACAGGGTACAACTAAAAACTATGGACATAAGTTTGCTGTGTTTTCCTTTTGTTCATTGTGGTGGTGGGGTTGAACATAGGGCCTTTCCATACCATACGAATGCTCTACTACTGAACTACTCCTCAGCTGTTTGCTTACTGGCTTGCCAGACCTAGCAAGCCAGCAAGCAAGCAAAGGGCCTCATGCTTGCTTGATTTTCTTGCTCATAGATGGCAATCTACTACTACTTGAGCCACACCTTTAGCCCTGCTTTTTTGTTTAAGTGGAGATAACAATCTCATGGACTTCTCTGCCTAGGTTGGCTCTGCATGGAGATCCTCTAGGTCTCAGCCTCCTGAGTAGCTAGGATGACAATTGTAAACAACCAATGCCTGGCTTTTTTTGACCAATACATCCCTAAAGAAGGCAGCAGCCTGGAAATGTCAACTAATACCATCAGTAAATCAAATATTAAATCAAACAAGGAAGTGGCGCTGTAGCTCAAGTGGTAGAGCGCTTGCCTTGAGCTGAAGAGCTGAGGGACAGCGCCCAAGCCCAGAGTTCAAGCCCCACGACCAAAAAACAAAAACAAAACAAAACAAAAAAAACAACTTAAATCAAACAAATAAATAAAATGCTACAACAAAAGCTTGCTTTCTGGTTAAAGAAACATTAAAATGCCTAGAAAGATATAAAAATCTCTTTTTCTTAGTTTTGACTTTTTGGGGTTTTTTTTGAGACAAAATCTCACTATGGAGCCCAGGCTACCCAGGAATTAACAATTCTTCTGTCCCTGCTTCCCAAGTTGTGGATTACCACACCCAGGTTACACAGAAAACTTTTGATAGCTGTTTTACTTTAGCTCAAGACTAGAGAAACACTGCAAGTGCTAAGTGGTAAGCCCCTTGAAACACAATGAGGAAGGTAGTGTCAACGTAGGCCTAGTGGAAGCTACAACTGGTTTCAAATTTCCAGTACCAATAGACGGTTTTGGCAAAGAAATAGAAAATATAAAGAAGGGTATTAGAGGTAGAAAATATATACGCCAAATTGAAAAGCTTACTAATCAGCTCAACTATAAAATAGAATGGACTTAATAAAGAATCAGGAAACTAGAAGAATGATAGATATCAAATTTGAACAAAAGCGAAAAATTTGGAGGTGGGATTCATACACTCATAGATCTGTGAGACTAGAGGGAAAAAAAAAGGTAACTTTTGTTTCATTGGAATCTCAAGGAGAGAAGAGCCAAAGAAATAAAGGCTGAAAACAAATTTGAAAAGAGAAATAAAAGTAAGAAACTGCACAAACTCCACTCAGATATTCATGTAAAGAGATTTAAAGTTCTGAAATCTAAAGGCAAAGAAAGTAGAGAAAAATCTATCCTTTACCTATGGGAGGGTAGCGGGGGTGGAAGGTGTAGTAAAGACCAGTTACAGTTAAAATGGTAGTGCAATGGTAGCAGTTTTCTCATTAGAAACAATGGGTGACAAAAAATAATGGTTTAATAACTTCTTGGTTCTAAAAAAATGTCAACAAAGAATTTTATAGCCAATAAAAATAGAGGGATAATCAAGACATTCTCAGATGGGAAAACACTAAAAGAATTTTCCAGCAGATAAAAACAGAATGGCTAGAGAAAATTCTGCAAACAGAAACGATAACATGGTAGCAAGAATATAGGGAAATGTAACAAACTTTTTTATTTTCTAAATTATACTTGATCAAAGTGAAAGTGTGACACTACCTAATCTGGATACCTTTATAAACATACACAAAGGACGCGTTTGTGTGTGCAGGTCCTTGGGACTTGAACTCAGGGCCTGAGTGCTGTTCCTGAGCTTTTTATTTTTATTTTTTTGGTCCGGCCATGGGGCCTGAACTCGGGGCCTGGGTGCTGTCCCTCAGCTCAGTTCTTCAGATCAAGGCTAGTGCTCTATCACTTGAGCCACAGCGCCACTTCCGGCTTTTATCTTTTTGCTTATGTGGTGCTGAGGAATCAAACCCAGGGCCTCATGCATGCAAGGCAAGCGCCCTATCACTGAGCCACCTTCCCAGCCCCTTCCTGAGCTTTTTAAATCAAGGTTAGCATTCTTATCACTCTGAGCCACAGCCCCACTTCTTGCTTCTCCCTCATCTTCCACCCTGGGTGGCGGAATTCTTACATGAAAGTGTAAGAGCTGCACAAGAGGTTAGACTTCTAACACAGCTGAGTGGCTGTGTTTTTGTATTCATACTCTATCATTTTCTCTGTATTCTAAAACACAAGGACTAAAATAAATTCCTGAAGTCATGCACTTAAGAACTGAATGGAATATAAAATATCCCAGCTGTAATCCTAGCTACTCAGGAGGCTGAGATCTGAGGGCTGCGGTTCAAAGCCAGCCCAGGTAGTAAAGTCCATGAAACTCTCATCTCCAATTAGCCACCAGAAAACATGAAAATTGTGGCTCTAAGTGGAAGAGCTAACCTTGAGCAAAAGAGCTCAAGGACAGTGCCCAGGCCCTGAGTTCAAGCCCCACAACCAATAAAAAAAAAATCTTAATACTTCAATTACTGGCCTCATGGGCTTCAATTCAGTTAGTTGATCTGACCCTATACAGCCTTATTCCAATGTGATCTATTGCTGAGAACATGGAATATCATTCTGAGACTGGAAAAACATTGAGAAAATCTTGCTAAGATAAACAAGATACAATAGACTCTGCTTGATCACTGAAAATTAAGCATGTGACTTTCCTATTTAATAAGAATGGTTTTATGAATTTGACAGATCGAACAGTTTAACCATTTGTTCTGCGAAGGAAAGAAGTACCATTACTTTCTTATCACGTTTTCCCAAAAGAAAAACTTTTTATTATATGAAATCATCAGGCCAGGCGCCGGTGGCTCACGCCTGTAACACTAGCTACTCAGGAGGCTGAGATCTGAGGACCAACCTAGGCAGGAAAGTCTGTGAGGCTCTTATCTCCGGTAATCCACCAGCAAACTCGAAGTGGTGCTGTGGCTCAAGTGGTAGAGCACTAGCCTTAAGCTGAAGAGGTCAGGGACAGCACCCAGGCCCAGAATTCAAGCCCCACGATCAACAACAACAAAAAAAAAAAAAAGAAAGAAAGAAGGAAAGAAAGAAAGAAAGACGAGAGAAAAACCATCAGCTTCACCTGAAGATGAAAAATGGGAAAACCAATCTTTGTCCCTCAAGATAACATGCTCCTTTTACTATTTACAGTGCACACACCTTGTTTTACTTACTGTCTACTAACCACCAGTACAAATTTCTGAAAAGTAAAAAGAAATAAGATAAAACTAAGTAATGAAGATACCTGCTGTGGGTGCAAATTTGCACCCACATAGGGCTGAACAGGCTAATTCTTATAGTAATTCTTATATAATAAGAGACCTATTGGGGGATCATTTATTTATTTATTTATTTTTTGCCGGTCATGGGGCCTGAACTCTGGGTCTGAGCGGTGTCCCTCAGCTTTTAGCTCAAGGCTAGCGCTCTACCACTGGAGCCAAAGCACCACTTCCAGCTTTTTCTGCTTATGTGGTGCTGAGGAATCGAACCCAGGGCCTCATGCTTGCAAGGCATGCACTCTACCGCTGAGCTACCTTCCCAGCCCTGGGAGATCATTTATATAAGAGACCAAAAAGCATACGTGTATAAAACAAACCCTAAGCAAATGATACTTGAGTGTAGACAGGTAACAACTATGAATGTGAGTACTTTGTGAAATCATCTGAACCCTTTGCCACTTCCTCAATGCTCATTGCATTTGTCAACCCATTTCCTGTTGGTGACCAATATTAAAAACCTCAGAACATGAAGTGGACTCATTACATACTTACTTATAAGGAGGGAAGAAATGCAAAGGAAAAACCAGAGTATTGAACTTAAAACAAACTCCTGGCTCCATTAGAAAAACATGTATTTGAAGTGAGTCAAGACAGCTTAGGGACAAAAAGCTTTATGTGCTCCTAGAATGTGACAAGCCAAAAAAGACTTCAGGGCACTATTCCTGATTGGAGAGGTGTTTGCTTAAAATAACCTTACCATTATAATCTCCCTCCAACTTCAGTCACCCGAAAAGCTATTTTAAAAGTACAACTAAGAACTCAAACATGTTTACTGTCACTGTCCTTTTCAGACCTACACTCAGCAATTTATAGATTATCGAAGTTCTTAAAGTGATAATATGCTTCTCAGAAAGCAAGTATAGAAGTTAGCTCCTGTATTAACCATTAAAGTAACAAACAAAATTCAGCAAAAAGCAGGAAAAAATGGTAGGATTCATCAGTTATTTGGAACAAAAACACAAGACAAAAGTACATTCATAGGAAATTGTATCATTTTCCCAAGCCAGCATCTAACACTGGTAGTCTCTTTCACAAGGGTTAACACTGGTCTAGCTCTGAGCCAAATAATGTCCTAAGCATTTTATGTGACTGATTTGAGTCTCAGAACAAACTTACAAAATAGGAAATATTTTAACTCTCACATTACTGTAACTCTATCATTCTAGAATTGCTGAAACAGGTTT